TTCTCTAATTTTAATAGGATAGTAAATGTTTTTTTCTTTACTACTATTATTAAAAATAACCTTAACACATTATTTGAAAACATTTCTAACTTCATAGCATATTAAATTTTTATATTATTATTATTATATTATTATTATTACATTATTATTATTATTACCAACAATATTATTTATATTATTGCTAAAAATAACACTAAAAAAATATTTGAAAATCATTCTTATTTTAATCGGAATATTAAATAACTTTATTGTTTTTATTATTATTATTGTTATTATGAAAAATAATCTCAAAACAGTGTTTGGAAACTTTACTTTTTTTTAATGAAGTATTAAATGCCTTTTATACCTTTTATTACTATTCCCATTATTAAAAATAATCATTGAGCATTATTTGAAATGTTATTTTAATTTAATAGAATATTAAATGATTTAATTATTATTATCATTAAAAAATAATCTTATAACAGTATTTAAAAACTTTTCTTTTTTTAATAGGATGTTAAATACCTTTTTTTCCTTATTATAACAAGCCTACTTATAAAAAATAATCATTAAGCATTATTTTATAACCTTTCTTATTTCAAAAGGATATTAAATGTAATTATTATTATTATTCAAGTTAATCTCAAAACAGTATTTAAAAACTTTTCTTTTTTTAATGGGGAATTAAATGCCTTTTCTTCTTTTTATTACTGTTCCCATTATTAAAGATAATCATTCAGCCTTATTTAAAAGCTTATTTTATTTTAATGGACTATTTTTAAAACTTATTTTATTAAATAACATTATTATTATTGAAAATAATCATAAAACAGTATTTGAAAACTTTTATTTTTTTAATAGGATATTGATTGGTTTTTTTTTCTTCTTATTCTTACTATTCTCATTATTAAAAATAATCATTGAGCATTATTTGAGAACCCATTTTAATAGGATATTAAAAGTTTCGTATAGCAAGAAAGCTGCATGGAAGGAGTCACACAGTCAGCAAGGGGATGGAGAGGATGGAGTAGGGGGGGGGAATACTTCTCGTAAATCAGGAGGGGGTAGTCTTCCGCCGCATCTTCTACTCACTGATGCATATCGGAGCAGGGGGTCACCACTACTTTTTGAACTTTTTATATTTTCATTTGTGGGGTGCCTAGTTGATAACATTCATATTTCTCCTTATCCATCTGAAATCTTTAGGGGCAAATATGTTGAGCCAAAGTGTATTATGGCCCGACAAGGATTACGATTTTTTTTGTCCCGTCTTTCATGGCTCAAAAGTTTTGGAGTGATACTTCAGACCTACCCCACGCCGGGGTTTTGTGTCCATTGCATATTTCAAGAGTTCTTGTTCTTTTCTGTTCTTTATTTCATTTATGTGAGAGAGTTTTTGGGTATCAAAAGATGTTATTCTAGTTCTCCGGAAATTAGTGTTTTGAATTGAAGGAATATTGAGATGGAGGGCTACTGGTTCGACGCCCGTGGAGTTTGTCATGCTGAGTTGAAATGATGCCCGGTATGGTTATTGCCCGTCTGGATTTTAGAAAATTCTAAGAGTTTTCCGAAAACTTTTTTGAACTATTCAAATGAAGAAAAAAAAGCTTTTAAGACCATGTTACGCCAAAATCGAAGCAATATCGTACAGGTGTTGGAAATTCATTTTCTTATATTTGTTTATTCTTTTTTATTTTTTAAGTTTTATGATGGTAAAAATAAGGTAAAAATTTAAGAGTAATCTAGAACAGTGGTTCCCAAATGGTGCTCCGTGCAACCATATTATTCCGAAGAAGAGTGAAGTAGTTCTTTTTAAAACCAGTGATGGGTTTTGAAACCTCTGATTATACTTAAATTCAACCTATAATTCATACCTTATTCAATTTTTCGGTTGACTTTATGAAATTATTTCAAGCAAAATGCAAACAAAAGAAATTACATTTTTTTAAAGAAAAAAAAATATTTTTCATAACAATATATTGAATAAATTAAGAAAGGAACAAACTTTTATTTATTAAATATTGAATTAGCATTTCCTATCACGTTTTTAAAGCAAAACAATCAAAGTAAAATAATTGAACTAACACACTTAAAACTAACACAATTACCTTAAAAAACTACTTATAAAGTTGGGGTTCCGCTGAAAGAGAGTTGATTATTTAGGGTTCCGTTGCCGAAAAGAAATGAGAACCAGAAAAGAGGAATTCTGGTAAAATTATCGTCGTTGAATGGTAAGGACCGTAATTCTGATAATAAAAATAAAATTTACGGTATTTAAATCATTCATTTGTTAATTTTTTCGTTCTTATCTTAATAATTACAATTATGGCTCGTAATAACGCGCATTTAGTAAAAATACAAAACTGAAAAGTACATTTAACTGAATGAATGGTTTTTATGTCATACTCTAAAGATATCATGAAAAAATTGCAACATTTTATCACATTTACTATCAAACAACATGGTAATAAAACCATACCTAATTATTAATTTTACCTAATTATTAATAATACATAATTATTAATAATACCTAATTATTCATTACCAAAGCATTTCGATAAAAATTATCGTGTTTATTTGGTGTTCCCTCAAATCCTGAAACACTGTTATGTTAAAATGGATTGCACAGTATCATAGTTCAGCTTGAACTGGGCACATGGTTCAACTTACATCTTTGAAGTTGCAGAGAAATTAAATGAATCAAGAAACCGATGTTATGGTTCAACATTCAACAAATTTTCTGAGAGTCGAATTAATAAAATAATTTTAAAAGTAATCAAAAGTTTAACTATTTGATTTATTAATTATAATGATTTAACATCAGAAAATATAAAATAGTCACTCGCTTCTATTGTTTGATATAAGCTAATATTCAGTTCTTTATGCTCAATAAATAATCATTTTACGTCACTTTTAGGAGAAATAATTTAATCTTAATCTATATCTTCTGTTTATCAATGTTTAATTTGAATTACCTCAAGTGAAATGTTATTCCAAATCAACAATTATAATTTGAAATTTATACTGAAAAATGGTTTTATATCAACATTCTAATGAAATATTTGTAGAAATCTGTCATGCAAAATAAAATTTGACTTGATTGTTCGAATCATCGAGAAATTCGTACGCAATATCCTAAAAATAATAATTTCTGTTTTACATTTTGTTTAAAAAGTATCTCCACAAATATTTAACGATTTAAACTTTTCAATTCTAATGTGTATATTTAAGGAATATTAAGCAATTATTTATAACTTCCACAACTTCGCTTAATTAATATTAAGCTCATTAGATTTTAAAGTAATTGATTTTTGAATTTGCAACAAATAAACACTTTTCAATTTGTATTATACTTTCTGAATATAATTTAAATCAATATTTATCTTTTTACTGATAAAGGTTTATATAAAAAGTATTAAAAGTAATAAGTTTCAAGCAAAACTACATCTTTCAAATCAGTTTTATTAATAATACATCATATCTTATGCGAATTGAGTTAATTTTATCATTTAAGCTGTTATACTACTTGGTATCTTTAAAAATTTTAACTCAAAAAAAGGAAGGAAAAAGCATATATTTGTACAGTATTCACTTTCTGAAGGAAAGTAAGATTTTCGTGAGGAAGTACGACAATTTTGCGCATTTGCATTACAGGAGGAGGAAAGCCTCCCACGTTCAGTTTGACTGCAATAATCAAACTGACCTCGAAAATGAATTCCCTTAGATGTAGGAAAAGTATACTATTTCACAAGACGCGTGGTCAATATACAAACCTGAGTCATCTGTTGTGTCAATCTGCAATCCATGACCTTTTCAATGATTCAGCAAACTATTTAGTTGTTTTAAATTTGAAATTCATTCTGAAAGAACAACCGAAATTTTAAACAATTAAACTTTAATAATGTTTACTTATACAGAAACAACTTTAAATTTTACCGACTTTCATACCTAAAACTAAAGATCTGAAAACAAATTTCTTATATAACTTCTTGAATAACCATTACATTATTTTAAAATTGTCCGAAATATATTGCCCAAAAACCACATATTTAATTATTTATACATTTCATCATTGGTATCATTATTTCGCTTCTACGCTGGAAAATATCGATATTCAGCAGTGAACACTGAATGAAAAGTGTCCGCTTACATTAGTTTTTTGCTTACAATTTGTTCATCAGTGCATGCTGAATATCGACATTAACTGGTTTAAATGAAAAATAGAAATGTTATATAAGATTTTCCATCATTGTAAGCTGAATATCGAGATTTTCTGGTTTAAATAAAAAATAGAAATGTTATATAAGATTTCTCATCATCCAATATCAACATTTACTGATTTAAATGAACAATAAGAATGTTATATAAAATTTTCCATTGGCTGAATATCGACATTTAATGATTTAAATAAAAAATAAGAATGTTATATAAGATTAACATCAGTGCATGGCGAATATCGACATTTACTGATTTAAATAAAAAATGAGACTGTTACATAAGATTTTCTATTGGTGCATTTCTATCGACATTTACTCATTTAAATTCTATCGACATTTACTAATTTAAATGAAAAATAAGAATCTTAAGTAATGTTTTCCATCGGTGCTTGCTTAATGATATCATTCAAGTAAGAGGTGGAGAAAAAAAGAAAATCTAATGAATTTTTTCAAGCATTTATAAAAGCAACTATCTGAATATCGACATTTACCGGATAATATCGATGTTCACTGATTTCACTCTTTCGCTTCGTAACATCCCGTCGTTAAATTTTTAAAAAATTACTTTAATAATGAATGTGGTAATATACTTGTTATTTTCAACAAAGATGAAAAATTTGTCTAAAATAACTCCACGCAAGATAAACTTGAAATTATTTAACACAGTTTTGATAGTCTCTTCCTCTTAAAACTCCTTGAAATATGTTATCTTTGTTCGGGAACAAATTTTACTTCCTTTGTTTTTCAGATCTTCAAGTATGTATCTGCCTTTAAAACTATAATGTTTATCTTTCTTTTCAGGTCCTGAAAAGTCAGATGTGTATGCCAAACGAAAGTCAAAAGACGTTACGCCGGATGTCATTCGTTACTCTACAGAGACTGCAGATAACGACGAAAACGACGACGCGAGGGGCGACAGAGGAGGATTCAACCCCCCTGCCAAGTTTGGGTCGTGGGGCCAACTCCTTAGTTCGAACGCCAAACGACATTACTCGTCTCTGCACCCCTCTAACCAGCCCCCTCCAGTCACTGCGACCACATCGACCATCCCCCGAGTTGCTAGGCAACGGCGTCAGCAGCAACAGTTGTACAGGGGGACTGCGAGGCACCCCGCGGGACTGAGTTCGGAATCGGAGTCCTCCGGAGCATCCCTGCCTTCATCCTCATCCGAAGAGGAGGATGGAGATGATGATGAAGATGGGGATGATGATGACGATAATGACGTCGAGAATCATTCAGATGCCACTACTTGCACGGGATCGGAAATGGCACTGGCCGCAGCATCTACCAGAAGTGATCAACAGAAAGAAAGAAGTAAGAAAATCTGAATTTGACTAAATTCAGCACAAAAATATACATTTATTCATAATTAGGGTGAAAGTTTCAGTATAATGCGCAAAGTTAAATTATTATTGACACTTTGAAAGGCGTACGCAAAAGATATGTTAATAGCCGGGACAGTGAACCTACTATAAACATAATTTAATTAGCTGTTGTCTGCATAACGCACAAACCATTTATTTTAATTTGCAAATTAATACTAGTAAAAACATATTTTAATTTACAAATTAATACTAGTAAAAACATATTTTAATTTACAAATTAATACTAGTAATACTAGTAAAAGCATTCAATATTTTTTAAGGACATAAAAAAAAATATTTTGGAAGCCTTAAAAAATAACATGCATCTATTTTAAATTTGTGAAGAAACATCCGCTATAACGAAGTTTTTTAAGTTAATGGGTTAACATATTTTTTTATAGATACATCGACCGATATATTTTTCAAGGAGATATATTTTTATGGTTTTAACTAAAACATGCAATGTCTATCAACATCTATAATTTACTGCACAACTATAAAAAAGCTTCCATACTTTTGAACGAAAGTGTTTCTACCTACACTAAAGTATTCTATCTGAAAATTCCCTTACGGAAAGGGCTTCGGGTAGAGAGTATAAAGGAGGAGCCAAGAAACTGGAACAATGTTATATACGTAGGTAAATAGATAGTTCCTAAATAAAACATGTTGTCTTTAACTGCATGTGCTTTAATGTGCATACGAGGTATTTCGCTAAGACCACCCTTAATACATATTTCTGGACTCCTTATCAAAAATTAAGACAATGAAATACTTGCAAATCACAAATAAGGAATATAAGGGTATACAGAACATCAAAACATGTTCTGTAGCAGATTGAAGCATGGAGGTGCTTCTAATTAGCTTCTTTAATCTCCTCTCTTTCCTCCTGGAAAGAAAAAAACACCTTTTGATGTTTTCTACTCCCAATTCCTGCAAATTTAATACTTTAGATTACGAAAGTGATTATGTTTTTTCATCACTAAAAGGGGTGGGTGCAAATTGTACGCGGTATCGATACTCGTTAAACTGTTCCACCAGGAAATACTCAATTTCCCACACGGGTCTTCGAGCTATCAAAGAAGGGGAGCAATCCCTTTGAAGAGGATCAAAATTGAGATGGATATGTTTTTTGTGTTTGATTTCGTAACTTAAAATATCGTTTGAACTAATTAATTAGCATATTTGACGTTACCTCCTTGAAAAATGAGTCTCGGAGAATGAAGATCTGATCATTAGATCAAAAGTTATTCTGGGTGGTCTTTTTATTTTTTAACGCAATGCATGCATATTTCTACAATAAAATAGTGCAACGTATATTTTTCTCTCATCTATATTGACAGAAATTTTTGTTTACTAAAAGTTTAATAAATTTATTAGTATATATTTATTACACTTCATAAGCATATATTTATTACACTTGTGATTAAAAGGTGACTTAAAGGATAAATTCCTTTATACGCAGCAATAAAATACGCAGTACTAATAATTAAATATATTTAATTTATAGAAAAGCAAATATAGACATTTGCGTTTTGCATTAACGTCTGCATAAAAATGTTAATAAATTCTAAAGAAAAAAAGCATTAAAATAATTAAAAACATTTTTTTTTAAGTAAAAGAGACAAAAACACAGATTTACATACATATATTGTTACTTTTTTTTTCAATTTTCGTACATATCTGAATGAAAATTTTAATATACGCGTTGAATTTAAAGTGCAAATCAACTTTCAAAAAATGTACAACTTTAAAATTTGACAATTACAACTAAGCAAAGGTAAATAAGTTTATTGAAGCATATAAAATAAGCTTATAAATACATAGATAAAATTAATAATCTGATAATATTTTGCCATTCTAATTTTAAAGATTAATATTTTATTTTAAACATAAGTTGCGAGGCATTATATATATTTTAGACATAATCGCTTACAATGTTTTTTAAACTACCAAATTATTTAAGTAAAAATAGCATCTTTTAATCAAAGTTTATTAAGTTAATTAAAATAGATAAAACTAAAGATAAAGGTATAATTGAATAAAGCATAAAAGAAACTGGAAATATTATTTTTTTAACTGCCAATCAATCAGACATTTCTTAAAATTAATTTTTAAAGTTAAAAAATAAATGATCCTTAATTTTTAAAAAATAATGCGCTGATTTTTTTCCGCAATATATTCTTTGAAAACATTAAGTGTCAAATAATTCTATTAATATTAACACTTCAAATAATTTTACATTAAAGATATCTTGCAAATGAAATAAAAGTTCTTTCCAATAAATTGAAATAAGATTTAAAGAAAACATTTTCGGTAAATTGAGTTTAGAAAATAGTATAGACAAAAATACTTAACAAAAAACTCATAATGGTAAATTTCTTTATTAGAAAAAATGGAATTAGGCATTTTTATTCCTGAAAAGGAGCAATAATTTTAATATAATTAGAAAATATGAAAATATAGCAACCATTATTTCCTAATTAAATAAAACTGTATAATAATCTTTAAAAAAAAATTTCAAAACTAAAATTTTAAACTTAAGTAGAACAAATAATTGAATTTGAAGGCAATAGCTTAAATCATTTACCAGACAAAAAATTATTATCTTTTAAATAAAGGAGACAAACAATCGTAGAAAAGAATTTAATAATAGCTATAATCTAGTAATACGTAAAAAACCTTTTTACCCTTTATTTATCTATTGAGTTTAAAGATTAATTTTTTTTACACGTTCTGAAACTTCAGATCAAATTGAAAAAAAAAATCCAACCACATTCGTGCATTTATTCTAATAAGTACTTTGCAACACAACTATTAATTTCAAAAAACCTTATTTTATCAACGTAAAAGTACTTTCATCTTAATATTGATTTAATAATCTTTGTTCTTATTATTGTTGTCTTCCAAGAAGTATTTTGGAAAAATATTTTATCATTTCTCAATAAATGTAAGCAATTATTTATTATAAGTAGGTAGAGAGCATAATTTTAAAATAGCTTAGCTTGTATTCTTCGAAAAATAAGCATCATTCATAACTACTTGATCTGTTTTAATTTTAAAAATGAAAGTTTCTAGAGGAGTTTAAAAGAATAAACAAGATTTAATGGTTTTTAAATGATGTAAAATTTACTTTTATTCACAATTACTAGTTCGCTATGTTCGTTTAATGACAGTTCGTAAAATATTAAAATAAGTTTAATGCGATTATTACGCAAGCATTAATAGACGAAAACATTGATAAGAATTGTGATCTTTTTATATAAGCAGCTTAACAAATGACTTATATTAAGAATTAAATGAGAAATTACATTAAATTTCCGATTAACTTACTCCCATTAGCATTTATTAAATTGTAAGTTCATGATTTGTATGGCAATTATTTAAATATTATTTTTGTTGTTATTTTTTGTTTAAAATTATGTGAAATCATAAATTTTCAAAACATTTTAAAAATTGTTTAATAAGAAGTGTTTTTCATCTTAACTATAACTTAAAAAGTAAATATTAGATAAAGCAATTTTTAATTTAAATATTTTAATATTTTCGAGTTATGCTAATATTTTTATCACTAACCATACTTTAAGTTGGAGATATTTCTCTAGTAACCGCTTTCGGTGGCCATTTGGTCTTACGGCTTCGTGTCACCTCATTGGTACATACACCACTTATGGTATCAGATAAAGCCTACAGTCTAAGGCTGTTTTTCGAAGACTCCATCCTAATATGAAATGGTGCTTTTCAACGAATAATATGCTTTTTATAACTGTTGTAAGTTTTTAACTGTTAATCAGGACTGTTATGTCAAGTTTAGCCTCTCTAAAGCTACAGCTGTCTACACTTATTTTGAAAAATGGCACGAAACATCAGTATGGAGAAGAGCCACAATTTTGTAAAAGTGAAAAGCTTTTGTAGTCAAATTTTTGAATATTGAAAAACTTACTCCAATGCTGCATTATTTGGGCTCATAAAAATTTGCGAAAACTGAGAATACGGCAGTGATTTTGATAATTTTCATTTAGGTGGAAAAATATTGTCAAATTTGCAATTTTCAAAAATATATAATAACTTTTAAACTATTTAAATTATTTTTCTGTTCTGAAGCCCAGATAATTCTTCATTTTAAGATTATATATATAGTTTGTGGGTGATTCTCACGAAATACAATTGACAGTCTTTTGCTCCAAGACCTAAAACTATACAACTAAAAGAACTTTAAAAAAAGAATAGTATTGCTGTTAGCATTTTAAAATGGCTTTGCATTAGCATTGACTGTTTTGTATATTTAAAAATTTTAATTAATTGAATTTCAAAATGTCATTTTCCTGGTATGTCGCCAGTAATATTTCCAATAATAGATAGCTTCAAAACTTCCCATAAATTTTAAAATATCCAATTTTTTTTTATCTCAACCGTTGTAAGCATTTCTGGAATACATGCCGAGGGTATTATTTCCAAGCACTTTGTTGAAGATAATTTTTTCTGCCAATGATTTGTTTGTCACATGAAAATGAGTCATTTTCCTGGCCACTTTTTTTTTTTAGTAATTTATAACCGAAATAGATAGCGCCAGCAATCAATATCTTAGGTTAAGAGATTGATTAGAATACCATCCTATCAGAACAAGTCTTATTGCAGGAATAAAGAACCAACTTTCTGGTTCAAAATCTATTTCAAAAAATTTTACAAGGTGAGTTGGTTTTTTTTGTCATCCTTTTCTTGTCTTCTTGAAATCATTAATTACATAAACTACATAGATTTATCTGAGTTATTTCAGGAAATCCTGTTGTTTTCTGCGGAAAGTAAACATCTTAGGCCGAAATGTTAAATTAAAGTAAAGTTAAATGTTGTAAAATGGCAAATCATTATCTTGTCTGCCATTTTTCTGGCTTATGAATGCCAATATGGCAGCCATATGTATAGAGGGGAAAAAATATTTACCTAATACCCAGT